GCTGATAAGGACAAGCCAGCTCTTCTTATCTCACAATGAGGACTTTAGCAATCAGGCTGTCCTGAGGGCATGGCCAGTGTGGCTATGGCCATCAAGTTCAACAGTCTTTTTTTTTTTTTTTTTAAAGATTTTATTCATTCACTTGAGAGAGAGAAAGAGAGAGTGTGCACACATGAGCCAGGAAATGGGGGCCACTGTGATAGTCCAAGCAAGAGGGGATGGTGGCCGAGACCCAGGTGAAGGCGAAGGCGATGTAGATGGAGAATGTGAACAGAGTCCCGATTTGACAAAAAATCTGCACTTGACTCTTGTCTCAGGATCCCTGCTATAAACTGAGCATGGGTTTGGGGACCTTGACTTCTTTTTGTAAGATCTTTCTTCAAATTTCAAGTCCAGTTTGGTAGTTAATGTTCCAGTTGGACTCCAAGAGGGATCAGAGGAGGATAAGTTAGATCCCACCAGTCCTCAGAAGTTAGGACCAAGAACTCAGAGGAATCCTTGCCCTGGCCTTCCAAGTCCTCAACCTAGGGTTTTCTCTTCTCTGTACTTGGCTCATGGCTGAGTCTACTTCTTAGTATTTTCTGAATCAGTCCAGTCTTCTCCATCCCCCAGGAAGGATCTTTCCCTTGTTCTCTTCCGCTCTGTGCTCTTGGTTCACTTGGTTTATGGGTAAACCTCTGCTTTTGCTGTGGATGGTAATTATTGATTGTTTGCTTGCTTGCCTGTCTTCCCTAGCAGACCATGAGTTCCTTGAGGGCAAGGACCTTGTGTATTCATCTTTGTGTCCTGGCCTTGTCTGTAGCGACTGGCACATAGCTAAAAGACTGTTGAACTTGGGGTGCCTGGGTGGCTCAGTCAGTTGAACATCTGCCTTCAGCTCAGGTCATGATCTTGGGGTCCTGGGATCGAGCCCCACATCGGGCTTCCTGCTTAGCAGGGAGTTTGCTTCTTCCTCTGCCTCTGCCTCTCACCTCTACTTGCTCACACTCTCTCTCTCTCAAATAAATAAATAAATAAAACCTTTTAAAAAAATTTCAAATGTGTTAGACTCTTTTGCTCAATTGCTTAGGCTCTTTTGAAAGGTCTTCCGTTACTCTTAGGATAGAATCCACCCTCCTTTTCATGGCTTACCAGGGCTACGTGGCTACATTCTGCCCACCTCTCCAACTTCCTCTTCTGCCCTGCCCCACCTGCTCACCCTGGCCCCACACTGACCTTTTACTGTGCCCAAATACACCAAGCTCTTTCCCTCTCAGAGCCATCCATTCACTCAGAACATATTTATCAAGAACCTTCTGTGTGCCAGACACTGTTTTTGTTAATGAAGACATCGTGGGGAATAAAATGCACACAAATCCTTGCCCTTGGGAAGCTTATATTTTAGTGAAGGAAGACAGACTGTAAACAAGAGAAGTAAATAAACATACCATGTTGGATGGAAATCAGTACTAAGTGGGGGGAAAAGCAGAGAGAGGGGAGTAGAGACGTTGGGGGATGGGTTTGCAGTTTTCAACATGGGAGCCAGAAATGGGCTCAAGAAAGAGGTATTTGAAGCCCTGAAGGCGAGGTTACAAGCCATGCCGAAATGTGGGGGAAGAGCATTCTCAGCAGAGGGGACAGCAAGTGCAAAGGCCCTGAGGCTGGGACACGTCCAGTATCTTCAAGGAACAGCAAGGAGGTCAGAGGGCTGGGGGGAGTGAGAGATGGGATGTGAGAGGTAACAGGAATCCTAATCAGACTCACCTGAACATGAGACTGGGGTAAGAACTTCGGCTTCTGTGGAAATTTCCAACTGGAATATTCCACCCTGACTCTCTACCTGTCTGGCTCTTTCCCATCCTACAGATCTCAGAGAGACTTTCCCTGACAACCCTCATTCTTCACTTTCACAACACTCTCTTTTCTTCATAATAAGTACCGAAATATGCAATTGTCAGATCTATTTCCATGTACTTACCCACTCACTATAACAGGAGTTCCACTGAGGGCAAGAGCCCCGTCTGCCCTGCCCATCCTTGTAAACCCAGCGCTTAGCAGACTACCTGGCACTCAGTAAGTGCTCAATAAATAACTCGTTGAATGAAAAAAAGAAAGAAGAAAGAAAGAAAGAAAGAAAGAAAGAGGGAAGTTCTGTAATTATTATTCCCAGCTTGAACCTTCCGAAGTATGAAGAATTATGTTTTGATGTTGGAGGACCATCCCCAGGAAATCTGTGGGCAAAAAGCTTTCAGACTGAGAAAAAAAAAAAAAAAAAGCCAGAAACATGCCACATTGAAAGACTTGGGAATTAGAATGGCCCGAGCTTCCAAAAAATAATATTAGGAGCTAGAAGGCAGAGGAACACAGCCTTCAAAATATTGCGTGAAAAATATTATTTTGTTTTTAAAGATTTTATTTATTTATTTATTTGAGAGAGAGTGAGAGGGAGAAAGAGCACAAGAGGGGGGAGCGGGAGAGGGAGAAGCAGACTCCCCGCCGAGCAGGGAGCCCGATGCAGGACTCGATCCAGGGATTCCAGGATCATGCCCTGAGCCGAAGGCAGTCGCCCAACCAACCGAGCCACCCAGGCGCCCTGCGTGAAAAATATTGTTAACACGGAACTCTGCATCTAGCCCATCTATCAGTTAGGTGTGAGGGAGAATCAACGTAATTTCAGATACACAAACGTTCAAAGCATTTTACCTCGCATGCACTTTTTCTCAGGAAGTGATTGATGATAGGCTCCACCCAGATGAGAGAAAAACAAAAAGAAAGTATCCAGGAGACAATGGCTCTAACCCAGGAGCAAGGCAAGGAAAGCTTCCAAGCTGATGGCACAAGGAGGATTCAGCAAGACCCCTGTGCACGGGCTCATTCCAGATGGGAAGAGGAGGGCAGATGATTCCGGGATTGAGATCTCCCAGAAAATAGGGAAATTCACATGTTATCTACTCGATGCAACCAGGGCTGCCTGCCTAATTTGCAGGGCCCCGTGCAAGAGGGAAAACAAAGAAGCCTCTTGCTTAAAATTTAAGAATTTCAAAATGGGGGGGCGCCTGGGTGGCTCAGTTGGTTAAGCGACTGCCTTCGGCTCAGGTCATGATCCTGGAGTCCCTGGATCGAGTCCCACATCAGGCTCCCTGCTCAGCAGGGAGTCTGCTTCTCCTTCTGACCCTCCCCCCTCTCATGTGCTCTCTCTCTCTCAAATAAATAAATAAAGTCTTAAAAAAAAAAAAGAAAATGTGATAATGCACACAATGGAATATTATTCAGCCTTAAAAAGGAAATCCTGTCAGTGCTACAACATGGATGGACCTTGAGGACATGATGCTCAGTGAAATAAGCCAGTCACAGAAAGACAAATATTGTATGATTCTACTTGTAAGAGGTACTTAAGGTAGCAAACTCCTAGAAACAGAAAGTAGAATGGTAGTTGCCTGGGGCTGGGGGGGAGAGGGGAAGTGGGAAGTTGTTTAATGGGTATAGAGTTTCAGTTTTGTAAGATGAGAAGGTTCCAGAGATCTGTTGCACAACAAATGTGAATATACTTAACACGACTGAACTGCACACTTAGAATGATTAAGATGATAAATTTAATGCTATGTGATTTCTACTACAATTTGAAAAAATGTTAATGATCTTTCCATATTGGACTGAAAGGATGAACTGGAAGGCTTTTCAGGTCCCACCAGACCCTATAGAAATCTATCTGTAAGCAAATACTTAAACATGTCATGTTATTACTATTTAAGTTTTAAATAGTAAGTACCTTTTGAGTGTCTTAAAGGGACTGCTTGGGGAAAAAAAATGATTACTTTGCAGTGAGAGCAGCCAACTCTAATTTATCAGGTTTGGAAAGTGAAATGTTTGTTTCTTGGGTTTTCTGAAGGGCATCAAAAGCAGACAGCATTTCCTGGGATTGAAAAAGTTTCGGTTTTCTGAGTCTTAAAAAAATGCAGCTATTCAACCCCCCTTATTGTATAAAGAATTAGAACCAGCCATGTTGGGGCATGTGAGTGGTGTTTTGATTAGGCATCTGACTCTTGGTTTTGGCGCAGGTCATGATCTCAGGGTCGTGAGATGGAGCCGAGTCGGGCTCTGTGCTCAGTGCAGAGTCTGCTTGAGAACCTCTCTCCCTCTCCCTCTGCCCCTCCTGCTAGTGCTCTCTCTCAAATGAATAAATAAATATTTTCAAAAAACGAAAAGAACCAGCTATGTTGTCTGGGTAATTAATTTGTTTTCAATCTGAAAACCACAGCAGAAGTAATGAATAAATAAATTAAAAAAAAAAAACAAAAGAATCTGCTATGTCATCTGGGTAATTTGTTTTCAATCTGAAAACCACATCAGAAGTATTTCCTTATTTGCTGTGACGACCAGGAAGCTCAGAACAAGATTTGTAGTACATCTCTAACTTCTACCCGGAACTTTATTTATTTATTTATTTATTTATTTATTTATTTATTTATTTATTTATTTATTTATTTTAAAGGGGGCTCCACGCCCAACGTGGAGCTCAAACTCACGAACCCAAGATCAAGAGTCACATGCTTTACCGACTGAGCCAGCTGGGCAACCTCTACCCAGAATTTTAGGCAATATGTGTTTAGGCAACATTGTGTTTTATTTTGTCTCTTAATTAATCTGATTTATTCCCTCCCTTAATGTTTGCTTGGCCCAGCTTCATCACTTACTTTTTTTTTTAATCTTTTGCACAGTATACATTTAGGAAATCCTCTTTGGAACATGGTGGGGCCAATAAATATAAAATACAAATGAGTCATGTGAACTGAGCACCTTACAGATACGTCTTATATAGTCATAAATCTCCAAACATCATCAAGTCCATGACTTCCAAAGACAAATAAAATCCCAAGGCCAAGTGAAATTCATCCTGTGAAGCAGAAGGAAGTAGCAAAGCATTAGGGGTGGACTCTTTAACTAATATATTTCGTATCTCTTTGTAAACAGGAAGCACGTGGCTCTAACAGCCAACAGCTGATGGGGGGAGGAGGTGGGGAGGAAGGCTGGTTCCTGAACCAACTCATTCTGGGGGCAGTTATTGTTCACAGCAGTCTCGATTGAAGAAACCAGCAACCTTCTAAGAAAGAGGTAGGAAGTTAAAACTATACAGTGAGGAGACTTTTAAACACGCAGCTGTCTCATAAATCAAGATGACACTAATGATTTCTGTTAGTTGTAATCTGCTTCGAGTGGTTTCTCCAGCAGTGGGAGTGAGGGACTTTGAGCTATCCCCTTTGCGAAGGGCCTCGTGGAATTAAATCAAATTGAGTAAGTGCTGCGTCAGTTAGGGTTCTTGGTTGCAAGCCAGAGAAATGGACTCTCGCTTAGGCAAAACCAAAATACGTTAAAAAGATGTTATGGACTGAATGCCTGTGTTTCCCCAAAATTCGTATGGTGAAGCCCCACCCCCAGTGTGATGGGGTAGTTGGAGAGGGGGCACTTGGGGAGTAATTAGGGTTGGATGAAGTCATGAGGGTGGGGCCCTCATGATGGGATCAGTGCCCTTTCAAGAGGAGACACCGGAGCCCTACCTTGTGCTTCCCTCCCACCCACAGCGTTAGAAAAGAAGAGGTCATGTGAGCATATGGTGTGATGACAGCCACCTCCAGGAGAGGCCTCAGAATGAAACCCACCTTGCTAGCACCTTGATCTTCGACTTCCCAGCCTCCAGAACTGTGAGAAATCCATGTCTGCTGTTTAAGTCACCCAGTCTATGATATTTTGTTATGGCAGCCTGAGTTGACTGAGACACAGGATATGGGGGTTCACAGAATCCAGAGGAAGCTGTGGGGCTGGTTGGAAAACCAGCAGGAACAGAGGGAGCTCCAGAAGCCCAGCAGCCACATTTGTACCATTCCTGGGGCGCAAAGCACCATTCCTACTGACCAGGAGTCAGCCGACTCTGGCCTGCTGGCCAATTCTTGCCTGCCACATGCTTTTGCAAATAAAGTTTTATCAGAACTACCTCTTTCTTACAACATTGCTGGTTTTTTCTATCCGAACTGCAGAGAACAATAACCCGTCCTAGAATACTCTTAAGTTGATGTGTTGTCTGCACTGCGTTTGCACTGTAACAGCATATTTGGGTAGTTTCGACAGAGATCATATGACCTGCAAAATCTAAAATATCTACCCAAAATGTTTGCTGATCCCTGCCATAGACTAACATAGAATAGGATGAAATAGCGCCCCCCCCCCCCCAGAGTTGTACAGTGCACTGGGGGCCTTGTCTGGAGGGAGGCTGGGCAGCAGAAGCCACAGCTAGGGTTATGTATAGGACAGGTCAGGTTCACATGCTGTCTCTCTGAGGGATCTGGGGTTTCCAACCCCTTTCTCCATTCTCTGTGTCCTTAGTCCATGGGCTGAGCTGAAGTCCTATGGGACAGAGAGTGGAAGGATCAGCCCTCTTGGCCTCATTTACAAGGGTGGGTAAGGGTGCCAGGCATAGCCCTTCCTATAAGACTCCAAGTGAGTTCCTAGACAGGGGACTTCGGGTCCTAACAGGAGGAAGAGGGAACTGGATGCTGATCAGCTGAAAGTCTACAAATGTCCTCACAAATATGAACAGCACAATCATTGTCTTATGAACCATCAAGGTAGACATTGTCATGTCTCAAGTCCAGAATCTTCTCCTCCCAGCTGCAACCCTAGTCCGGGCCAGCATTGTCTGTCCCCTGCTTTGTTGCTACAGCTACCTTATCCTCCTCCGGGCTTCCGGCCTTGCTTACTGCAGTCTGTTCTCCACACAGCTGTCAGAATATTCCTTCCACTCTTTATTTCACCGTAAGCTTCAAGTCAGGTTATATCATACCTCTGTTCACGCTGTCTAGCAGCTTCCTAGCTAACTCAGGGTCAAAGCCAAAATTGTCACCATGGCCGACCAGGGCTTGATCTGTCCCCGCACAGGCTCTCTGATCTTCCTTCCTACCATTCTTCCCTGCACGCCCTCTGTTCCAGCCACACCAGCCTCCAGGCCATCCCTCCAACTGTGCAAGCATTCTCTTGCCTCAAGGCCTTTGATCTGGCCTTCCTTCTGCCTAGAACTGCCCCCCCCATAGCTGCAGAACTTCACCCCTCAAGTCCTTCAGTCCTTGCTCAAAGGTCTTCTCAGCAGAGAGGGTGTCCTCGACCATCCTGTGACCTTCCTCTCCCTCACCCTGCTTTCTCTCTCGTCCTAGCATCTCTCACCACCAGATACGTTATATACTGCTCATTTGTTTGTGGTCCGCGTGTCATCTCAGAGTAAACTCTGCGAGGGCCGCTGTGTCACTGTGGGCTCGGCCCAGACCAGAGCAGCACTCGATGAATAGATGTTACATGGAAGAATCCTGACCCCAGGAAGGGCCACTGCTTCCCTCGAACCCTGGAAAGCTGGGACCCTGAAGCCCCCTAGAGTGTGAAAATGACCCTCTTTTCCCTACCCCCGGAATGTTGATCTTGAATTCCCTCATGTCCACACTGGGGTAATTTCCAGAATATAAAACTAAAAGCTGAAGGCCTTGACCTTTTATTTTATTTTTATTTTTTTAAAGATTTTGTTTATTTATTTGACAGAGAGAGACACAGCGAGAGAGGGAACACAAGCAGGGGGAGTGGGAGAGGGAGAAGCAGGCTTCCCGCGGAGCAGGGAGCCCAATGTGGGGCTCGATCCCAGGACCCTGGGATCATGACCTGAGCCGAAGGCAGACGCTTAACGACTGAGCCACCCAGGCACCCCTGTTTTTTAGATTTTATTTATTTATTTGTCAGAGAGAGAGAGAGCACAAGCAGGGGGAGCGGCAGGCAGAGGGAGAAGCAGGCTTCTCGCTGAGCAGGGAGGCCGATGCAGGACTTGATCCCAGGACCCTGGGATCATGACCTGAGCCGAAGGCAGATGCTTAACCCCGACTAAGCCACCCAGGTGCCCCTCCTGCCAGTTTTAAGAAAGAACAAGGTATAAGCCTGGAATTGCTGGTACCAGTGCCATAGCTAGGGAAGAGCCTTCCTATATAAAGTTTTTTTTTTTTTCTTTCTCTATAAAGTTTCACAACAAAGAGACAGAGAGAGACTGGTCCTGATTGAGCCCCTGGATCCAGCCAAACCTGAAGTCAGTGGACTTTTCCGATACATGTTGCCCAAGCCAGCTTGAGCTGGATTTTCTGTTACTTACCACCAAGAGATCGTTACCTTTTTATTCACTCTTCCCTCCCAACTCACTGTTTATTCATTCCCTCTGACTCCTCTTCTGCTAGTAGGAGCCGTATCTCTAGGTCAGACATCAGCCCCTGAAATGGGATACAAAAGCACTTCCTGCTCAAAGCCAAAACAACAGGATGAAGAAGGGGAAAGGTCAGTCCATTTTCCCCATGTTTCCAAACATTTGGATGCTTGTCAACACAAAAACAGAACTTCTAGCTTTTGATCTGGTAATTTTGGAGCTCTGTCAATGCCAAAGGGCTTGATTCTCATGCTCTCCTTAGAACTGTAAGACTTAGTAGAATTTGTGCAGAACTTGGAGAAAAGGACCCTAAATACATTTGCTGAAATATTTGAACAACTTCCTCTTAATCTACTTAAGTGACGTCATTTTTTTTAGAGCATTTTGAGCTATTCTTCCTTTTTAATGTTAGAAGAATAGAGGTAGACACATGTGGACTATATCTCTTTAATGTTAAAAGAACAGAGGTAGACACATATCTAGACTTTTTTTTTTTTAAGATTTTATTTATTTATCTGAGACAGAGAGAATGAGAGAGACAGAGAGCACATGAGAGGGAGGAGGGTCAGAGGGAGAAGCAGGCTCCCTGCCGAGCAGGGAGCCCGATGCGGGACTCAATCCCGGGACTCCAGGATCATGACCTGAGCCGAAGGCAGTCGCTTAACCAACTGAGCCACCCAGGCGCCCCATATCTAGACTTTTAAAAAATATTTCACGTTCATCATTTTTTTTCTTATGGAAGTGAGAAATGTCTTAGAAAAATAAGACATTACGATACGTCAATTTAACCATGAGCTGACTCTCCAGAGATGGCCACAATTGACAATTTGCAGGAGATTCTAGCACATACTAAAACATAAAGTTCTTAGACCCCAATGGACTATACCATATATATTGTTTGTGACTTTTTTTTTTATATATCATGGATAATTCACCCTTTTAAAGGGTTGCATTATATTTCATTGTGCACAGGGCTGTGCATGTTGTCTGAGTTGCCAGCATGTGATAGTTCTGATTTTATAGAAATTCCATAATTTATTTTTCCATTCTCTTTTTGATGTGCATTTGGGTTATCTCTAATGTTTGCTCTAATAAATCGTGCTATATTTGCATCTTTCTGTGTTTGCTTGTTTGTGGAAGTGTGTAGAATTTATCTCTAAATGTCGCATTGCTGGGTCAAAGGGTATAAACACTAAAGTGTTGTTTTGTTTTTTTAAGATTTTATTTATTTATTTGAGAGAGAGGTAGTGAGAGAGCATGAGCAAGGGGTGGGGGAGGGAGAAGTAGGCTCCCCACTGAACAGGGAGCCGTTGGGGCTCCATCCCAGGATCTAGGGATCATGACTGGAGCTGAAGGCAGCCGCTTAACCCACTGAGCCACCCAGGTGCCCCAAGATTAAAGTTTTAATACCTAGGGCCTAACTTGTATCCTCTGCAGAGGTTGTACCAGCTTTTCCCAATAATGCTCGAGGGTGCTTTGGTTGGTAAATTTTTTTCTTTTACTCACTAATAAAAACCATCAGGAGGTGTCTTAATCTGTCTGAGCTACTAGAATAAACTACTATAGACTGGGTGGTGCATAAACAACAGAAATCTATCTCTCACGGTCCTGGAGAATGGGGTCTAAAATGAAGGTGGTGGTAGAGTGGGCGTCTGGTGAGAATCTACTTCCCAGTTCACATACTCCTGTCTTTTTGCCCCCCTCCTGTATTGGGAGGGACAAGTGAGCTCTCTGAGATGTTTGATAAGGGCACTAATTCCATCTTGGGGAGCTCTGCCCTCATGGCCTCCCAAAGATCCCACCTCCAAGTACCATCCCACTGGGCTCTAGATTGCAATCTATTAATTTGGTGAGGACACAAACCTTCAGTCAAAGCAGTTGGATTGTGCGGCTTTCTTCCTCGATGACCTAGTCAGGATTACGGAATGCACTGCAGGGAGCCATTTGCTCTCATTTCACCGCAATTGTATCAGGCGGAAACCAAACTCAAACTGATTTGGCAAAAAGTTGACTTTATGAGGTAAATGGCTTCAGGCCAGGCTGGATCCAGGGCTCAGATGTTGCCATTGGAACCCATTTTCTGTTTCCCACGGGGTTGGTTTACTTCTGTTCTAGGTCATGCCTCCAGCAGCTCCAGGCTCTCTCCTTTTTTTTCCTTTCTTTTCTTTTTAAGATTTTATTTTTTTTTTTTAAGATTTTTATTTATTTATTTGAGACAGAGAGAATGAGAGAGAGAGAGCACATGAGAGGGGGGAGGGTCAGAGGGAGAAGCAGGCTCCCCGCCGAGCAGGGAGCCCGATGCGGGACTCGATCCAGGGACTCCAGGATCATGACCTGAGCCGAAGGCAGTTGCTCAACCAACTGAGCCACCCAGGCGCCCTTAAGATTTTATTTTTAAGTAAAGTCTACACCCAGTGTGGGGTTCGAACTCACAAACCCAGGGTCAAGAGTCGCACGCTTCCTCCACCAACTGAGCCAGCCAGGCACCCCCAGGCTCTCTCCGTTTAGGGGCAGGGTAGTTGCAGGAGCTCCGGCTCTCCTATCCGCTAAGGTTCAAGTTCTGCACACAAAAGCACAGGGAGTGCTGAATGGTTGCTGGGGAGACAAAACTCCCACGGTCACAGTGCCTCCAGCGCTGTGCCTCCAGCGCTGTCCTGGGGTAAATCCATTCTCCATACTGCAGCCAGAAAGGGGCCCTCCAAAAGGAACAAATCTGAGCCTTGTTTAAAACTCTTCGGTTGTTCTTCTTTGCCTTCAGGGTAAA